AAAAAAAAAAAGTCCGTTTTTGGTCCGGACCAAACAATTGGACCAAAGGACTTTCCTGGTCTGAATACACCCTAACAAGCATTACAACAAGTGGACCAAAGGACTTTGCTGGTGTGAATACACCCTAAATATATGTATGTGAGGCTTATACTGTATATATAGTATATGAGAGAGGCAGTATGTTTTATTGCTTGTACGGCCCCTCAWAATTTGGTCAAATTGCAGATATGAAGATCTTTTTTTTCACCCAAATATGACAAATTTAATTGTACAATAGAAAAGATCACTACAACTTTAATATTCACACATATACAATTTGGTCATTTTGTCTGTTTTATACATGAACCTGGTAGTTTGTCTGCATTTAGTTTTCCTATTTTTTTTCTTTTTTTTTTTTCTTTTTCCAGGTCTGAGTAACATTATAGGAATCATTGTGTACATATCAGCCAACGCCGGGGACCCTTCGAAGAGTGACTCCAAGAAGAACAGCTACTCTTACGGCTGGTCCTTCTACTTTGGCGCCCTCTCCTTCATCATGGCAGAAATGGTGGGTGTGTTAGCTGTGCACATGTTCATCGACAGGCACAGGGAGCTGCGAGTGGGAGTGCGAGCTGCAGACTACCTCCAAGGCGCGGCCATCACACGCATACCAAGCTACCGTTATCGCTATCGACGCCGCTCACGCTCTTCATCCCGCTCCACGGATCCCTCGCAATCTCGCGAGGCATCTCCGGTGGGCCTCAAAGCCTTTGGGACGCTGCCTTCCACTGAGCTGTCCATGTATACACTGCCTAAAGGCCAAACGGGCACGCCGACAGCTACCTATAACTCTACAGAGAGGGACCACAACTTCCTACAGGTCCACAACTGTGTTTCAAAGGACCTCAAAGACTCAGGAGGCCACAGCAACACCGCCAACCGGCGCACTACACCAGTATGAAACAGAAATGGACCATAGATTCTAAAAAATAAAAATAAAAATAAATAAAAAACTAAATAAAAATAGGGGAATGTTGGTGAAAAGCACTTAAACACAGATTCTTGGTGTAAAGAGGCAAAAAAAGAGAGGTCATGAACAGATGGATTGAGAAGTGATTGTAAAGCAACTGGAGATATTCTGAATATAATTAGATAATCATTGAATTTATGTCTAAAAATGAAAAATAAAAAAAGGAAATACAGTAAAAATGCATAAAAATACATAAAAAAGAAACACGCATGATTTTCCCTGAGCCATTGTTAACAAATTCAAACATGTTTGAGGAGGGGTRTAAGTCAAGAGGGAGACGTTCAGTAGGGGAGGGGGGCTGTGGATCTATGGAGTGGTGGCCTGGGCCAGACTGCCTTTTCAAAGGTGAACTTTTAATTTTAGTTTTTTCTCAGTCTGAACAAAACGTGGTAGGCTCAACTATACCTGCCGTTGCACTGTCAAACCACATGTCCTCCAACACACAAACACACACACACACACACACGCCATAAACTTCCTTTCTCCCAACTTTGTTTAGTTGCTGTATCTTTTTTGATTTTGTTCTTTAATTACATCAATACTGTGAATCAATGCGGCATGGGATTCAAGCAGGAAGCAATCCAGCCAGCAAAAAAAGTAAATACATAAAAAAATAAAAACAATAAAAGAACAAAAAAATGCTATTATATGTATTGATTATATATAAATATACGTATATGTTAATATATCATGACTAGATTTCCCTGGTGCAAAAAATATCAACACCAAAAAAAGGTAAGGTAACTTATAAGTTACTTACTGTAGTTCAATTCAATTTAGTCAACGAGGGAAACTAAACCAAGATGGAGGATTCAGAATCATGACTAGCTCATCTGTCGGAAAAGGCACCATCCTACTTGATAAACTGATATTGATTAGTAATAGACATATTATTAGATTTTTTAACAA